TGTAGATAAACATATGTATAGACGCATAGTACTTCTACCTACCCCGCTTGGATTGTTAATACTGGGACTCTGTCTCATGCGGTTGGCAAACATGTCTGCCATGCCTTGGGTACCTTTGAGCTGCTGCTCCGCCCATGTTGGCGTTGACGTCACACCCGCTGTTGATGCGTTGATTTTCGTGGTGGTTGGCGAATTGCCGCTTGAGCCTGAGGGTGTGGCTGTGAGAGGGGTTGCATTGTGAGGTTATCTGTTGTAGTGTATTGTATGTGTGTACGTGTACAGACGTGATGGTGTATGTCCTTGCGGTGTGTAATTGTATGATTGGATTATCGAGTGATATGAGCAAAGTAGCTTACATTTCCGGCCTGCGCCTTTTCTGGTGTGCTATCGCCGTCACCATTTCAAATGTATGTGTATTATCGGTTCGTCTGGAAGACAATATGAATAGACAATTACGTGCCTATACATACGTATGTGATGATCTTTCGAGTACAACTGATTGTACCTTCAACTATAGATACCTCTACATACCGCACTTTCCACTTATATGCAGGATGCATGCGATAAACTGAAACGCCAGCTACATTTTCCATTGACTGACACATCTGGGTGCTCTCCAGAGTCTTCAGCCGATTCAATATAGAAAACCATACACCGCCGACACTTACTAATATACTCCTCTGTCCTATTGTTGTGCCTTTCATATATATATATACAAACACATACACATACATACATACTTACACACACACACACACACACACACATATATATATATATATTTAAATAGAATATATATCCACATTTCGCATCCCAATAGTGTATGTTAGGCTAGAATGATCACTAGACTATAAATTAGAACTGCAGAACAGATCCTAGAGAAGTGTTAATGTATATGCTAGATCAATTTCTAACCTAATTTGAGCTTCTCTTGACTTAATTTCCTCACAAAACGGCGGAAACTTCCAGGTGATTTCTTCTGGCTCTTATCAATCTTTTCTTTTTCCTGGTTGAAGCAGAAAATAAGCGATGTGATAGTATCATAATGAGAAACAGGTTCAAAACAGTACATAGATTCATAACTTTAAAACGAACAGTGTGGATATATGACAACCATTTCAAACGTTCACACAAATTACGAGAATATACACTTCAGCTCCGACAAACTATTGACAAAAGACAGACGTAGGTATAAATAGTACATACAAATACAAGCACACTCATGAGCCTATTTTGCACCACTATGTATAAATATATTCATACTTATATATAT